GAGTCATGAAATTTCAGTCTTCTCATTGCATTTTGGTTATTCAATTCAAGTGTGTCTTCACTTTCTATTAACATCTTTGGTTCATGTTCAACAACTTCTGCTGAACCAATTACTGTATCTTGATACAAAGTGTTTTTGTAATCATATGTGTCCATTATGCTAGTTTTACACGTAACATCTTGGCTTATGTTAACTAAACATGGTGCCATTACTAATGAAAATCTTTCTAAAAAATTCTCAGAGGCTAAAACACAATCTTGAACTGTTTCAGGAGAATTATCATCAAGTCGGTCAACAAAAACATCAACACAAATTTCTGACCTTGGGGGAATTTCATAGTTAGCTTCTCCATATTTTTTTCGAATAAATTTATTTGTTTAGCCAATTTGGGTACAATGGATAGCATGACCACCAAGCAATATAATTCCATCTGTTAACTTTATGTCAGCAGGACCCCACTGAGATTTCATTAAAACATCCAGTCCTAACAAAGCTTCATCTTCTATATTTGCTACTATCATTTCTGTATTAAAACATAAATTTCCTAATTGAATTTCAAAAAATAGCTTTCCCTAGCTCCTTTAAGGGTTTGCCATCAGCACAAGCTAAAATATTAGACTTTTCCAAAATTGGTCTATTAACATGAGGAATTTTATTAAAGGCATACACGGATAACACTGTCCGAACTGCCCCTGCATCTACAGTAAAATTTACCTCAGACCCTTGGATATGTCCTTCAACATAAACTCCATCACTTCGGAGTACTTGTCTTGCAATTACATTACTTGCAATTGATGGTTCACTACCTAAAATTGGTGTAGAACAAACTAAATTTTAATCTTCTAAAGTGACAGAAGATGTATTACTATTACAGGTATCTCCCTGTTTTACTATATTTTCACTTTTACTAACATTTTCCTTATTACTTTTACTATTACTAATATTTCCCTCATTACTATTACTAATATTTCCACTATTACTAATATTTTCCTCTTTACTATTACTATTATTTCCACTAATAATAATATTTTCCTCATTACTATTACTAATATTTTCCTTATTACTTTTGCTAATATTCTCCTCAATACTATTACTATTACTAATATTTTCCTCACTTTTACTATTACATAAAGTTATACTGCTTATTGGTTCATGTACACCAATATTGTCCAATTTATGACCGTTTTCATTAAACTTAAGGGCTAACTTCTGGTCAGCTGGGTTAACCCGTTCTAGTTTAATGTATATCCATCTGATTTAAATTCACCTTGTGACGGACTAGTATTACTGTTGGGGGGAGTGTAAGGCATATTAATCTGTCTTGGAGGAGTAGCCTTATTATTTCTATAATCTGGTTGCCTATTGGGATTACTATAGCATTTTCTGGCATAATGACCTGGTTGACCACAATAATAACAGTTTGGGATACATGTAGTTTCTGGGTTAGCATTTCTGTCTGAATTATTCTTTCTATAATTCCCATTTGGAACATAGGATGGTGCATTGACATTGAAGGGTTGTCTGTCGATCTGTCTTTCATCATGATAATTGTGTCCTCTTACTGATGTATGTGTATCATCATTTCTTTTCTTGTCCTGGTACATTTGGTCAAACATTTTCTGTAATTCATCTTTGGTTATCGAAATTACATCTTTTTCTGTATTTGTAGAACCTTGTTTGTTGAAATTGGTGTTCTGTTTCTTTAGTTGCCTTACTTTGGTATTTTTTCTGAATTGCCCTCCTGTGTTTCTGAAGTTGTCTCCTTATAGGTAATAACCTCATGTACTGCTTCCTCAATAGTTTCGGGGTCTTTTGTCAGTTCAATATGAATTCTTGCTTCATTATCTGACAATCACATTAAGAATCTTTGAAGCAGGTCTTCCTGTCTAATTTTAGCATGTCTGTTTGAATAAGCCTTGTCATATATGCGTTTTAATTCCGCAGCATAGTCTGCAGTGTCTTCATTTGATTTTTGGGTACGTCTGTTAAATTGTACTTTATATGTTCTTTTATTTTCAAAGACTCCAAATCTATTTTTAAGTTCTGTTGCTAATTTTGAGTAATTCTTAAATGTTTTACTATTTAATTGGTCAAACACAAAATCACCAGCTTCCCCTTGAAGTCTGGTTAACAATTCACTCAATTTAGTTTTATTATCCCAATTTTGTAGATTTGCTACTGCTTCAAACCTATTAATCCAGACTTCCCATTTTTCTTTTCCTGTGAAGGATGGGAGTTTAGCATTGGAAAATCCAATTTTCGATTTTGATCGTTTACTTTGGGTTATAACATCTGTGTCAATACTATTAGTATCCATATCAGAGCATGCATCACTAAATATTTCATCATCAGTTTCATCACACTCAGATGCTGATGTAAAATCTAAATTACTATTAGATGTAAAACTTGGTTTACCTTTTCTAACTTTAGAAAATGAATTACCATTGTGACGGTGGTCACTTTGTTTGCTTGTTGCGTTTGTTATATTGGGGAAATTGGTTGAAGTTAGCATTATTTATAGTTCCACAAATATTTGTCCCGAGACCGGCCACGTAAATTCTCATCGGGTTACTTCCTGTTCTTGCACGTGCCTGATGTCCCGACCGGGCTCGTTGTCCCTAGGAACTATAAATATGACGTCACTCACCGGGTCTTTGGGCAGTCTACGAGAGGATTTGAAATGAGCAGACGCTCGTACTTTGGCTCGTACATTTTAGGCAACATGTAGACTAGCTACCACCGTACTTTTGTATCTTTTTATTTGTCATTATTGTATGACTTGTATATTTCAACCATGTATTTATTCAAATAAACATTCTGTTTATATTGTAGTTTGTCCAATATCCCAGAACTTGGGTTAGACAACGGGACGACAGCGAAGCCAGAAGGAAACTTCACTCCCGTTACTATTAGCAATTGTTATACTTTTAGCATGTTTTTGTTGCTCACTTGAAGCATTAGTATGCCTATATTGTTTTGTAATGCCAGTAAAAGCATTTTGAATGGCTGATACTACTTGACCACTCATATCTTGTATAGCTACTTTAATAATATCATATACCCCAGAATCACCTTGGTTGTGAGGTTCTGACTTATTTTCTAGATCATTTTGCTTTCTATATCTGGAGGACCTTCTTGGAGAGCCAGGTTTTCTAGGACTTGGTCTCTTACTTAATTTGGATCTGGGTCTTAAAATTATTGTTTCTTCTTCTTCCTCAGTCTCTATGTTAGACAAGTCATGAGAAGCTTCATAAACTTGATCACTTCCAGAATGACATGTTTCGTCATCAGTGGTGTGGAAAGTATGGATTTCACTGTCCTCTGTTTCTGATTCTAATTGGCTGCTATGTCCTCTATTATATGTGTCAGTCTTTCTTGATCGAACAGACCTTTGTTTACCCATTTCACTGATAATCTATTACACTTCAAAAGGTTGGTATCACAGGATCCAATAAAGTTAAATGAATCCCACCGTGGATGCCAAAATTATGTAGCGGGCAGGGGCTTGAAATGCTTGACCCAAAAGTTTTACTCAAATTTTATGAGTAGTTTGCAAATTGTAAAGTCAGTATGACAAGATATGATCTGGTCAGTATAATATAGGCATTTGCTAAAAGTCAAATAAATAAGTTTCTATATTTTATTCATTTCAAGGCTCAGATATTTTCATTGATATTCAAGATAAACAACAACAATTTTAAGTAGTAAGATACTTAAATTATAGACTTTTAGATTATATATGACAAGAATCTATTCAGTATACATGTAATATTTTATCTCTACACTCAAGAGATACTTTTTATAATTTTAAAGATTGCAGGATAACTTTGGCCGTGCAATTCTAATAAAAGATGACACTTGCTATTACCAATATAATTGTATGTGGGTGTGTCAGAAAAATACTTAAAAGGCTGAGTCCTGCTATATTACTAAGAAAATAAATTACCCTTACAGAAAATATTTATTTCAAGTGAATTTAGTCAGAATACCTCTTTCTGACAGTTTTGTAAATAGTTATAACTGATACCTCACCAGTTATATAAAAAAATGTTTATTATCATTAGTTATATTCAGAACCTTTCCTGAATAACTAACAATAAAATACAATTTATACCTTAAATAAACTGTTTTGTTTATTATAATTTCCAGACCTTTAGGAAATTATCCCTTAATTGCCTAATGTTTTCCTATTTAATTTTATTTATTAGAAGAAAAAAAACGTTAACAGTAACATGAAATACAATGAACAATTTCAATAATCCTAACTTTAAAAGATAAACTAGAAATAAAGCTTTGCCAGCAATAATACGATAATTAACCCAAAAGATATTCTAAAACAATTTTAAGAACTTTCCTGAATTTACCAAAAGAATAAACTACTTTAAGCAAATGATCAAAATTATAGGAGTCCGGATCCAAAGAGTCCGCTAAAATAAAATATTCCTTTTAACTTTGAAAACGCTACATTTACTATTTTCCTTTACAGTTTAACCTTTAAAAAAATGAAGTTTGTAAGAAAATTAACCATTTTGAATAAAATAAATAACGAGCAAAATAAAATACTAACTGTATTAACCAAAAGTTTAAGCAGAACTGCCAAACGAGCGTCGAAATGACGTCAATGTTGGATTGTTGGAAAAGTTGGAAAATTGCAAGTTGGATCGCGCGCTTGCTGTCCAACGAAATATTTGAATTCTCAATTAAATTACAAAAATCATATACAATTTTAGTAACAGTCATATAATAAACAAATTTTCATGGTACTAAACAAATTTTTATAGTAGCTAAAAATACACCAATAAAACTTCACCGGAAGTCACAATACGTAAACAACATTGCCAAAAGTTATGTGTGTCACCGGCGAACCAAAATGACAAATATCAAGGATAGTGAGCATTAACATCTGCAAAACATTGAAGATGTTGACTACAAATACTAAAAGGAATTACAAAGAGTATTTGAAAACAGTTGCCGAAACGTAATAATAGTGTTTTATTGAAAAATCGTCCCAAGTGACACATGGGTTCCACTGCGCATGTCAGTACATTTCATTCATAAAATTCAAGCAAGGTGCGTGGATTTACTACGAGATTTACTACGATCTACTACAGTTGCTACAATTGGATCATCACAAAAATACAAGACATTCAGTTGGATTATTCAGTGGATTATTACTATGAACTGGTAAATTATAACATGAACTTCAAATAGTTTATCAAATATTCAAATGACAGTAATTCAATATTTCTAGAAAATCATAATATTGTAATTGTTCTAACCTGGGACTGTTAGTATAATAGTCCCAGTTCTAACTTTACTTAATTAAATGTTAATTAAAACTTATTTGCTTCAATTATGAATATGTTTCAGACTACAATCATTAAAAGTAATATAGTACAAGTTATTTCACACAGTTACTGTTTCCTACATAATAAGACTTTCATAAAAAAAAATACAGAATATTAAACAATATGCTTTATTAATATAATATCAATTAAAACATACATCAAAAGTATCTTCTCCCTGTCTATTTAAACTTACCTGTACATCACACATGTCACAATAAAATACATGTACCCAGGCTATTCTTCTACTCTACATTATGATGTCTCTAGTCTGGTCAAAGGGTCAGAGTGTCCTACTTAACCAAACAATTGTTGAAATTAGATAACATGTTTTCACGTGCAGAGAAATTTCACTTATGACCAGTGCATGATTGGATTACATCTTTCTTATTGGTCAATGATCTTGCGGGGTCAACACGAGTTCACGTGTAAGTGCGTTGTGGTCACTTCCTTTTATCATCAGCATTTGATGTGTTAACTTGTGATTCTTATCAAACAATTTGTTAAACATTTTAATTTAATGGATAATTTTGGACTCGAGTGATTTCCTTTTAGCAATTTGAGGTAAAATCGAACTATACTTTTATTTTTTAGCTATTTTATGTTTACATTCTGAACAAACGTACAGTTAATTTTTTACCATTCTTCCATTCGGATAGATCTCACGATTTTGATTTATGCAAAACATTTAAAGCAGTTAATTGGTCAAATTCATTTCTTTGTCAAAGAGATACATGTAGTGGGTCAAATTAATTTTGGTGTTGGTGGCGACACTGTGCGTTTGCGATCAAAATGTAAGTATTTACCATACTTATAAAAATGATAGCTGATGATTAACCCGATGTTGTAATTTTACAAGTTACTGAATCCTTAATAGCATCCTAATGTTTGCAGAACGTATATCCGCCTTGTGTATCTGTAGGAGACATGGTTCATTTAAATTTAACTACAAATACAAATTTTTTTGCATAACGATAATAATACCATATACATGATAGAATGCGCCTTATCTAAATGTTCTGTACAAATTGTCACTGAATACACATTTAAGTTGAACATATAGCATGAATGAATTAAAAAAAACCTACTAAGTATAAAGTACATTGTGAAGGCATCCGAGGCAAAAAATAACGGACTTTGTATAGACGTGTGCCGCCCTTGCCAATAGACATAAAATAATTGTCTGTTTACATATTTACAACTTTTTTTTTTCATTTTGCTACCTTAAAGTAGCTAGATTCTCATCTTCTAAAAATATAGAATAGAATATTAAAGATTTTCCTTTTATTCATTCATGAGGGTTTGGATGGGGGTCCCTCAACTCTGTATTCTCTTTTTTTAAGCATTTTTCTCTATTCTTCTTTTTTTTCCATTATTCTCTATTCTTTATTATAATTTAGCACCCCTGTATTCTCTATTCTCTAATTTTGGGCTGGGCCTATTTTTCTTTCTTTTTTTTGCCCATGATTCTGTAGTATTGGTCTATTTATGTCTATTCTATAAACCGCATCCAAACCCTTATTAAGTCTCCCAAACGAAGTTTGGGAAGACTTATTGTTTTTGCTCAGTTATTATTATTATTATTCTTCTTCCTCTTCCTCTTCCGCCACTTTTAAATTTGAACTTGTCCGCACCCGTTCTCCAAAACTGCTTGTCAGATTAACTTAGGGTTTCACAATATGTTAGACTAACATGTCTAGTGGTGCAATCAGGGTTTTGTGTGTGCAATAGGGTTTATAAAGGGGTACTTTGAGGGGCAAAAAGAAAGGAGGGTTTTACTATAAAACCCTATGGGAATTTATTTTTTTAAATTTTCAAATGATTATAAATTGAAAACCGTTTGTGATAGACACAATCTTTTTAATTGAAAATGTTCTAAATGATAAAGCAAATTAAATGAAATACAGGGTTAGTCCCCAGGGGTCACCCCCACCCCCTGTCATTTAAGAAAGTTCTAATACCTTGTAAGTGGTCAAGATCCCCACCCCTAAACCATATATATTCTGGTTTGTCATGCTAAGAAGGTTTGAATGATATACAGGGTTAGTCCCCAGGGGTCATCCCGACCCCCTGCCATTTGAGAAAGTTCTAATATCTTGTAAATGGTTGAGATCCCCACCCCTAAACCATATATATTCTTGTTTGTCATTATAAAGCAAATCAAATGAAATACAGGGTTAGTCCCCAGGGGTCATCCCCCACCCCCTGCCATTTGAGAAAGTTCTAATATCTTGTAAATGGTCGAGATCCCCACCCCTAAACCATATATATTCCTGTTCGTCATGTCTCGAACATTTGAATGACGTATAGGATCAGTCCCCAGGGGTTCCCCCCACCCCCAATGTTCTAATATCTTGTAAGTGGTCAAGATCCCCACCCCTAAACCATATATATTCTGGTTTGTCATGCAAAGATGGTTTGGATGATATACAGGGTTAGTCCCCAGGGGTCATCCCCCACCCCCTGCCATTTGAGAAAGTTCTAGTATCTTGTAAATGGTCGAGATCCCCACCCCTAAACCATATATATTCCTGTTCGTCATGTCTTGAACATTTGAATGACGTATAGGATCGGCCCCCATGTGTTCCCCCCACCCCCTATGTTCTAATATCTTGTAAGTGGTCGAGATCCCCACCCCTAAACCATATATATTCTGGTTTTTCATGCAAAGATGGTTTGGATGATATACAGGGTTAGTCCCCAGGGGTCATCCCCCACCCCCTGCCATTTGAGAAAGTTCTAGTATCTTGTAAATGGTCGAGATCCCCACCCCTAAACCATATATATTCCTGTTCGTCATGTCTTGAACATTTGAATGACGTATAGGATCGGTCCCCAGGGGTTCCCCCCACCCCCTATGTTCTAATATCTTGTAAATGGTCGAGATCCCCACCCCTAAACCATATATATTCCTGTTCGTCATGTCTCGAACATTTGAATGACTTATAGGGTCAGTCCCCAAGGGTTCTTGTAAGTGGCAAGATGATTTGAATGATATACAGGGTTAGTCCCCAGGCATCACTAATGCATATAACTTTACCAAACCAATTTTCACTGGACTTTGCCCAATGTCAGACGACCCTGGGAATTACGAATTATGGGAGCTTCGTTTGGGAGACTTCGTAACAGCATCCTGTTACAATCATTTCTTGTTCATACTCAATTTAAAAATAAAATTAAAGAATTTAAATCAGTAAATGGTTTATAACCAAAACAAGATAAAATCGTTGTGGTAAATACAAATAGGCAACAAATAAATCCTTTCAATTCAGTTACTGGTAATCATTATATACAACCATTACTACTTTGAGACGACCACTTACATTTTGCATGTCGTAGTCGTTGTCAACTGTAGGTGTAGATAATTGTTGAAAAGGTCTATGTAAGAGAATGATAATCCTTTTCTTCATGATTAAGTACGAGCGTTAGTAAGGGATTATCATTCTCTTACAAACTTAGAATATTGTAAAGTGCTCAAGGCTCAAATGATGTCTTGATTGGTTGTATCCAATAATTAGTTTTATTGTCAGTGTAAATTAAATGTTTGTAATTGATGCATGATTTCATTTTTTAGCATTTCATATATTAGTTAGTTTTAGTGATGTAAGGACTTTCTTGAATTATAATTTGGGAAATATTTAAAAAATGCACTGTAGACATTAGGTGACACAACAGTACAATGAAATGGTAGGAATTGTATGTGTTTCCTTATTGTGAGTATGACTTCTCCTTTTTATCTCACCTGGCCCGAAGGGCCAAGTGAGCTTTTCTTATCACTTGTCGTCCGTCGTCCGGCGTCGTCCGTCGTCGTCCGGCGTCGTCCGTCGTCGTCCGGCGTCGTCCGGCGTCGTCCGTCGTCGGCGTTAACTTTTTACATTTTGAACTTCTTCTAGAGAACCACTGAATGGAATGAAACCAAACATGGCATGAATGTTCCTTATGAGGTGCTGACCAAGTGTTGTTACTTTGTAGCGGATCCATCGTCCAAGATGGCCGCCAGCGGGGGACTTAGTTTAACATAGGACCCTATGGGAAATACATACAAATGTCTTCTTTTAGAGAACCACTGAATGGAATAAAACCAAACATGGCATGAATGTTTCTTATGAGGTGCTGACCGAGTGTTGTTACTTTGAAGCCGATCCATAATCCAAGATGGCCGCCAGCGGGGGACTTAGTTTAACATAGGACCCTATGGGAAATACATACAAATGTCTTCTTTTAGAGAACCACTGAATGGAATGAAACCAAACATGGTATGAATGTTCCTTATGAGGTGTTGACCGAGTGTTGTTACTTTGAAGCCGATCCATAATCCAAGATGGCCGCCAGCGGGGGACTTAGTTTAACATAGGACCCTATGGGAAATACATACAAATGTCTTCTTTTAGAGAACCACTGAATGGAATGAAACCAAAAATGGCATGAATGTTCCTTATGAGGTGCTGACCAAGTGTTGTTACTATGAAGCTGATCCATAATCCAAGATGACCGTTAGTAGGGGACTTAGTTTAACATTGGACCCTATGGGAAATACATACAAATGTCTTCTTTTAGAGAACCACTGAATGGAATGAAACCAAACATGGCATGAATGTTTCTTATGAGGTGCTGACCGAGTGTTGTTACTTTGAAACCGATCCATAATCCAAGATGGCCGCCTGCAGGGGACTTAGTTTAACATGGGATCCTATAAGAAATACATACAAATATCTTCTTTTAGAGAACCACTGAATGGAATGAAACCAAACATGGCATGAATGTTCCTGATGAGGTGCTGACCGAGTGTTGTTACTTTGAAGCCGATCCATAATCCAAGATGGCCGCCAGCGGGGGACTTAGTTTAACATGGGAACCTATGGGAAATACATACAAACGTCTTCTTTTAGAGAACCACTGAATGGAATGAAACCAAACATGGCAAGAATGTTCTTTATGAGGTGCTGACCAAGTGTTGTTACTTTGAAGCTGATCCATCATCCAAGATGGCAGCCAGCGGGGGACTTAGTTTAACATAGGACCCTATTGGAAATACATACACATGTCTTCTTTTAGAGAACCACTGAATGCAATGAAACCAAACATGGCACGAATGTTCCT